TTAATTCTTTACTTAGAAGACATCTTCTTAGAAGACATCTTTGGCTATCCAAATGCACCTTCAGGAACCTATCTTTTGTCACATTTTACTTAAAAATTGTAAAAAGTCTTATGATAACTTAAACTGTACCATGAATCAAAGTATAATGAAATTCTTATTAAAGATCAGAAAATTCCTAGACCATATTTACTGTGTTTTTTTCTTAAATTTGGTTCACTGAGACCTGTAATATTTACTGTGTGCACATAGCATGAGGGTGTTCTTTTTGCAGTCTGAACAGGCAGATTTCCAGTATTCACATAACATGAGTTCTTTTTCCTTCCTCACCAAAGCATTAAACATTTCTATTTTTTATGTTATGTTTCAGGATTCATCATTCATTTTCCAGCTGAGTTGCCCCAAGCAAGAGATTCCAAAACTTACACTCCACTAGTCTTTCCAATTTGTAGTTTGGACATAATTTTATATTCACTTTGAATGTACAACAGAATCCAAACTCAACAGAGAAAAAACAAACAGCCATTTAAAATGGCTGCAGACATCATTTTATTCAGATTTAATTCAAGGAAAAAAAGGAAGCCAAGGAGACAAATGTTAAAAAGAGATTATCTAAAAAAATGAATTGTTACTGTCACAAGTCACAGTTTTTCATCATTTAAGCACATTTTTATGCCAGACTTTCACAACTTTACATACAAAAGAAATGACAACAATCTGCGAATATTTCTATTAGCTAATTACAATATATACCTTGGAGTTCTTCAACATGAGCAATGTGCAAGAATATATATTTGTTAAAAGTACCTTGTGGCGAAAGAGAAAGTCATTTACCAAGAAAAAGGGCACGTGTGTTCTGTATGATATGCTGAAGATAAAATAACCAAAGTAGAAACAAATGAGTTACAGGTTTTGCCATAAATGCATCTTTGATATGCTAATAATGTGTATCCTCTCTTACCTGTCAACCAATGAAAAAGTTGTTCGATTGATAAAAGCTGTTGATATTCTCGTATTGGGGAAGTTGTTTTATTTTTCTACCTCATCCGTCGGCTTGCATATTGGATTTCTTATCATTTACGTGTATTGGGATTTGTGACATTGGACCTGCAATTCAGGATTTCGACATTTCTTTCTGCCCCTGGAACATCAAGTTTGGACTTGTGATTTGTTTATTTTTTATTTTGTTGTGAAAATGAGCTGTCATATCAATTTTTTAACATGCTTATCATGGCATGAGGTTTTATAAACTAGTTTTGCAGAAGTTGTTTTAATAATACTTAAGTTCACCCAAAAGAACACCCAAGAGACACTCAAGGTAGAGTGCTGATGTTAAAATGGCTATGATGAATGAGCTGAGATATGAGTAAAAACGGAGGTGGTATGGAGAAGAAAATTATGAGGACAAAAATGGATAGATAACAATTGACCCTTAATTCAAAGAGATTTTAGATTGTAGTGTTCAGTGAAACATCCATATAGCAGTTTTTTTGGGGGCGGGGGGAAGCTGCCTGAATGGAGCTTTCTACTTATATTTGGAATATGGGGGAAATGTGACTGATTCAACTCTATGAAATTATCATAAAACTTTGAACTGGTGGAACAAAAGAATGGAGTTCATCTGAACATTTGTCATGGAAATAACAATAGAGTAGCAATAGTCTTGCAATGTTGTGTCTGTGGGAAAGAGGTTGCAGAGTGAAGACCTAGCTGCTTATATTGTGAGTTCAATTCTCTTCTGTGGCCTTGTACCAGATTAATCTATGTTTAGGAAATAACAATATTTGTTAGAAATCGATAACTCTGTTTGGTAAAATTCTATTTCTAACAGAACAACAGATTATATTTGAGACAAAACTAGCCTTGACATTAATTCTAGTACTTTTCATGTAGATGTATTTTTAAAGTAACAATTACCAATTGTAACCGTTCAGTATAAACTATAATTTTTCTCTTATTCTTAATTTCCACACATGATAAATATTTCTGTGCTTTGAACAAGCAATTTTACAGAAAAATTGTTTATCAAAATATATTTTCTACATTTCATAGTATTTCTTCATTGGAACTCAATCAACAATTGGAAGGAAAACGAATTAAATTTTTAACATGATTATTTTGAAGTTACCTTTTCAATACTTACAATAAAATAACCAGGAATTTGTACATTCTTATACTCTTTGCAGATTACTTATTATCAGTGTGGGTAAATTTTGTATTGATTTTACACTTAAAAAATGAGTTCAAAGTAAATTCTATATGAATTCCAAAAGGGCTCTTCATCAACAGAAGTATCAAGAAATATTCATTGTGTATATGGAAATTAAGATTTAAGTGCATATCACCTTTGCATTCTCAATCAAAGTTGGTACAATTTTATTCTGGTTTAAATTGGCCCATATAGAGCTTTGGTGTAAGAGATGTAGGGTCAGCCATCTTGATAAGTGAGAGGATATATTTTATATTTCAAGAACCACCAAGCAGATGTCTGAAAGATGTTGATATCAAACTCATATATATATATATATATATATATATATATATATATATATATATATATATAATAAGGTGAAAGAAGAAAATCAGAAAAGTGATTAGTTTAAAGTTAACAATGATATACATTAACATAGGCAAAGCGTTTCTGGTGGGTTCTTGAACAAATGTTGGCACAAGAGTGACTTTGGTAGTGCTAACATTGGTATGGAGAATGGGAAGAGTTAAATCTCTCAGGACAAATGGTGATAAGGGTGGGGGTATGTTGGGATCACCATTGGGACCCTTTTATTTTTTTAACCAATTTCACATTTGGAAAATTGCATATTTTTTGATCAATTTTACATTTGTAAAATTGCAATATCAACTTTCTTGGAAAAGTGTCAAGAGAAACTCTCACTCAGTTTACCACACAAGAAAGACTTCTATTAAATGTAGCAGCATCGAGAATTAACAAATATTGAAACTTCACTCACAATTCTTCAGGAGTATCTTTGCTTGATTCCCCTCCTCCCATACAATGGAATCTCTACTGAGTGATATGTACATAACACCAAAAATGGTTTCTGCTATTATCTCCAAACTATATATGACTACAAGGCTTGCAGTTTTGACAGTATCCCTGCATTTGTCCGAAGGAAATGTGTTTCTGAACTGTCTCCTCTTCTCTACAAACTCTTCAACTAATGCCTTGCTGCTTCTTAATTTCCAGCTTATTGGAAATCCTCCTCTATAGTTCCTGTTTTTAAGCAATCTAAGGATCCTTGGAGGCATGGTGGAATAATTGATAGCAGCTCAGATTGAGGAATCTGAGAGCTGAGTTTGAATTCCATTCGAATCCATTACATTCATTTACATGCTAATATCCTTGGGAAAAGTATGAATCCTCTTCTTCTCCCCTCAGCTATGGGTAAATAGCAGAACAGACCAGGTTCTATAGCCTTGGATGGCAACTGGTCTACTGCAGAAAGAAATGGCAACCTACTGTGGGAAAAAATCTGCCTTGTCAGTCGTATCGAAAGATACATGATCGGCTAAGTGTGTATCACGCATGGCACATAACTGACTGAAAGAACCTTCTGATTCCTTGAATTGTTTTCCAATATGTCTTTGTAAGTAAAATTAGGACCAAACAATAGGAAGGGAACGGATTGACCCGGCACCACCTACTTCTGGAAGAAACAAAACTCCTCAGCTTCAAGACACCACTGATCTTTGCACTCAATTATTCAAACACCGCCTCGTAGTTTGCTACACACAATCTCTCGAGTGTCTCCTGCCATCATATTTATGCCAGCGAACACCAACCAATTTGCATACGGCCAAGTTCACCTCTCGCCAATTCTCACAGCTATGAGATCGCGTTTCCCATAAGACCGACTCACAACAGTGTTTCTTCCTTCAGATCAATTACTGCCCTGCACGCCAGACACAAACGAACCCTCTTATGTCGAGAGACAAGGCTAGTCTCACTTTCATGTCCACAGTCTTTTACCTATTTTTGACAAAGCACTAGAGCTTCTAATCAACTTTGAATTGGTTAAGCATCATACTTCAAATGGCCTTCTTTTGGAACAACAATATAGTTTTCATTTCTCTAGGTCAACTGCTGATGTGTTAACAAATATTCTTTAATTTGTCTATCAGGCTTTAAATAAGGATAGTTAAATTAGGTTTGTGGCTTTACATATCTTGAAGGCATTTGATAGAGTTTGGTATTCAAGTGTATGATATCTCTGGCTGAATATTTAGCTCTATCCTATCATTCTTAAAAAATTGTATAATGAAGGTTGTGTTGAACGGACAAATTTCTAAATCATTTCATGTTGTTTTACCTTCATCAACAACATTCCCAATGTCATCAGTTGTCAACTCAGTATTTATGCTGATAACACAACTATTTACTCCTGTTTTAATAGTAAGTCTAATCAGTTGTTAACTGGAGCAATACAACTGCTATCTTTTAATCACCATAGAGTACCATTTTGACCTTCTATCAAAACATCTGATGCTAATGTCCAGCAGAGCAACTTATTGCACCTTCTTGTTTTCCATTGACAGAAAATGGAAAGATTATATTGAACTGCTTGCTAGGTCTGCTGCTAGGAAAGTTGGTTCACTGTGCTGTGCTAGACAATTTTTCTCATTAGAATTGATCTTACACATTTACTATTCTCCCATTCATCAGTGCATTGAATATTGCTGCCATATCTCAAGATTCTCGACAAAATCCAAAGAACATGTAAACAGTCCTGACTTAGCATCTCAACTTCAGTCAGTTTCCCACTTCTGTGAATTCAATTAAAAGAACAATTTTACTTTGATTGCCAATATTCACTGGGCACCAGGAAAAGATCATGTCTAAAAAGTTTCTTTTTTTCTTACTTTTGTTTTCACCTACTATTTGAAATGCTAGTGACTATTTTCACTTGGTAAGCTGATTCCCAATAAAAGTGATCATCTACTTGTTGAGAAATGATCCTATATTTTTGCCTCTAAAAGAAACTTACATGGTTTGTTTGGAGGCTCAAAGAATCCAGGTAATGAAGAGCAACTCTCTTGTCGATCAAGAGAAGCACCTGACGGATTCAGTGATCGGGAAAACCTTCGTTTTTTCAGTAAGCTCGTTCGGCGACCAACACGAAAAAACCCGGAGGGGTTTGGATTAATTTGACACGGCCGATTGTATTTTTGGTTTTCTTGAATATGCATTCTCCAAGTGGCTGATGAGTTAAACGAAGGCTCTGCCGACTGGCACCTCCAGAGGCACTGGAAAAGAAAGAAAGAGAAAACACAAAAACATTGTTAAAAAAAAGAAATTTTAGAAGTAGGGTATGTATATTCCATCAAATAATCTGTGATATAAACCTTTGTATTGAACATTCAAATCATAGAAACTAGAAAATAAAATAAAAAATTCACCATCTCATCATCAGATTTGTTTTGACTTGAAGGCAAGCTACAAATCATCTGTCTATATCTCTGAGATGAGGTATTATGATTCCTTGCATTATTTACATTATTTGGACTGTTATCCTCATCTTCATTGCCATATTCACACCGTTTTGGCTGTTATACACTCCGGCCTTGTTCAGGTGATTGGAATTTTGAACCGAACACTTTATGTCGTCCACTGGGGTAGATTTTTCTAGTTCCACAAGCCATGCCTCTTCTGGATGTCTCAGTTATTTCCCTTTAACTCTCCAAGTCCTCATGGGCACATGGCCCAGTGGATAAAGATGTTGGTCAGATCCAGTGACTAGACCCAAAGAGTTGTGAGTTCAATACTAGGCCACAGCAGTAGTGAACCAAAACCTGGTAAGTTGAGTTGAAGGGAAATAACTGAGACATCTGGAAGAGGCCTGGCATGTGGAACTAGAACAATCTACCCTGGTGGACGAAATAAAGGATTTGGTTCGAAATCTATCACCTCAAGATGGCCGAAGTGTACATCAGCTGAAATGTTGTGAATATGGCAATGAAGATGAGGATAACTGTCTGAAATAATGCAATAAACTACAAATCAGTGTGATTTCTCTTCTTCAACATGGCTTCTCATTTCTGACCATACTCATTTGCTCATCTCTGTTTGTGTTTCTTCAACACTCATAGAGTCAATCAGTGATTTATACAGTAACTATGCTGAGCAAACCTTAGTTGCCATTTAAGTATGCATTTCTCCAGAGCTAAATACAGTTTTAAAATTATGTGTTCTCTTAAAAATAGTTACCAACTATAGCTAGCACTGAATTTGCTTTACTAATTAAAGCATAGATGGAAGGAGAAGAGACAGATATTTGCCTTTCCCAAGGGTATTTATGCTAAAGTGAATGTAATGAACTTGACCAGAATTTGATCTCAGCTCGCCGATTTCTCATTATGAATCACAAACCATTATACAAACTCTTTAGTCTGAATAAACAGTATCTCTCTATCAATCAACTTCCTGCTTATCCAGTCAAGGAAAATAACTTTTTTCATCTCAGCAGTCTCCATCTTTCTTTTTTGTCAATTAAGGAAAATAGAACAGTGCATAATATATTTTCCCCCACTTACCTAAAGTTACATTATAACTTTTATATAAAGTAAAAATAGAAGACAATTTAGAAAACTACTTTGACATATTTCACTGATGAACTGGTACAATCAAAAAGAAATTTATTTCACAAGAACAAAATGTACATTAATGAGACGAAAAGTGATAGATTTTATTTTTGTGAAATAATGTTTTTCTTTTCTGATATAATCAGTTCATCAACAGAATCAGTCAAAGGAGAAATTTTCAAAATTCTCTTATATATTTATTTTCCATTCTTTTGAATTCTCATCAAACTTTACTTGCAAGTATCATATATATATATATATTTACTTGCAACTATCTATATATATTTTATTTACAACTATCATATATATATATATATATATATATATATATATATATATATATATATATATATATATATATATATATATAAAACAGTGGGTATTGAAGTCAAAACCCAGTGGCGACATCTGTTTCAATGTTCATTTTATATTTACATATGGTCTATCCCAGATATTGAGCACTTTAGCCCATAAATATAGCATAACTTAAAACTATATTTTATTATATATCTTAGTGCATATGGTATGTTGGTGATGATAATAAAAAGTGCTTAATGTAAAATAAACAGTGCTAAAATAAATCTATATATATATATATATATATATATATATATATATATATATATATATATGTATGTATATATGTATGCATGTTTGCATTAAAAATGACAGACAAAGTATTACAAGTAAGCTTTTTTATTTAATTTTTTCTTGTGTTCAAACAAGAGCTTTCTTTTCTGGACAAAGAGTGTGTAAAAACTGTCCAAATGTTTTATAGAAACATACTAGTCGAAAACACAAATATAATAACTTCATCCACCTGTAAAAAAGATTAAAAATAATGGAAGCTTTAATAATAAAAAAAAAAGAAGCCAACTTTTAACAATATTAACTACAAACAAGACCACAATGTGCTAACCGTATTCAGAAATTAAAAACATCTCTATAACACACTAAAACACACATAATGCACACACTCAATTAAGCTGAAAATTTGAACCATCCTTGATAATGGCTAAAGGTATAGCAGAAAGTGCTTGGAACAATAAAACCTCAATCCAGTCTAATAACATCAGAAAGTCTCCTTCCTGACAAATTGACCATGGTGAGATTTGAATGGTCAGAAAAGGAAAATTCTTACCACTTAGCCATGTGCCCTTTGTGGTAGTAGTACCTTATATATACAACTAAGTACATCAGTAAGTCTATAACCTAAGGAGATAAAAAAAACATTTTGCACAATAAATGTTTCAACATCATGCCTTTCCTTGTCAATCCTCTAAACACAATTTTTTTTTCTACTAGTCACAGTATACAGTGAAAATTTCATATCAAAATTCAATTATTAACAATGTCAAGCTATGGACTTATTGATCAATTACCATATATATCTTTCCTTACCTGTATGAGATTGGCAGCAGTTGGTATCTGTCGATTAAAATGTTTTTGACGTTGTTTCTGCTGTACTTTAAGAGCAAAACCAGATCCTAGAATTCCCTGAAAATAGAAACAAAGACATGAAAGAAAACCATAAAAATCCCAAACAAAATCTGGTAAAATTTAATCTTTGGATCTACAAAAAAACAAGCGTGTCAAAAGGACAGTCTTTCTCTTGACACTGTGGTTACTGTATACTCCCTTGGCAATGTTTATTGTTTTAAAAAGCCATGTTTAGAATTTTAATGACAAAAATATTATACACTATTTAATTGTTAGATTGTTTATTTACAAGTTTAATATTATATTTATAAGATTATAAAAATGTGAATATTTAAATTGATTGGCAATAGTTTGGCCAATAATAGAAATAAATAGGTTTGTCTATCACTCAGTTCACATTTCTCCCCAGTCTCTTGAACAGGAGTAGAGGTTTATCCTTTGTTTCCTGTTTAGGATTAGGTTTCTAGTCCCTTCTAAATTTTACTTCAACTCTATACTTCTAATGTCTCTGCATAAATTCTGAAATTTTATTTACTATTTACTTTTTATTTACTATTAATTTTTCCTCAGTAGTTCTAGACAGGCTCACCTACCATCCACTTCACACTTCTCCTAGGTCTTTTGAACAGGAGTAGAGGTTTATCCCATGTTTCCTTTTTAGGATTGGGTTTATGATTCTTTTTAAAGTCTTCTCATTCTCTTTCACTTCCAGTAACTTCTTGTGTCTTAGAGGTATTATTACCTTGCTTAGGATAAATTGATTAAAAAATGATTTTAAAGTACACAATTAGTCAGCCTCATCAAAGCAATTGGTTAAGCTGCTTAGTATCTGTTGGGGCGCACCCACCTTCTAACTAGAAATGGACTGGTCCCTCTTATATAAGTCAGCTCTAGAGAGAGGACAGGGAGAGCGTCAGCATGAGCAGTCCAGATAAGGTTACTCGTTACATACCGTTGGACTATAGACTTTGGATATTGTTTTGTACTAACCGACCTTCGTTCTACTAATCACTCTATTGTTAATTGCTTTTATGAATATACCAGTATTTTCCTCTACAACTGTGTTTATCTTGATTCATACACCCGCACGCGGGAAAACTCTCAACATCTCAACAGTATCCATTCTCTATTTAAGATTTCTTCATCAGTCATTACTTGCCCGACAATAGATAATCTCTATGCTGATTTTCTAGGCATGGTTTAGGCAAATTTTTAAAATAAATAGCAACAAAAGTTTTCAACATTATATCTTTCAAAAAGAGTTGGAAAGAGGTTAAACTTTAATTGCTGGAGTTTCAGGTCTTGGATTTTTTTTATTGATTAGACATCTGAAATCCTCATTACAAAAAACAAGGAGTATTTTGAGATTCAAAACAATCTGAGAAAATATATAATGTTTGGAAAAATCATGTTTATTTAAATTTTCTTATTCTAGTTCACAGATGATTTTTATGAATTTATTAATAAAAAAACTGTTTTCATAATTATTTATAAAATGATAAATAATAAATATTGCATTTACATACTTTTATAATCATGTGACAATATTTTCATAATTATTTATTTATAAAATGGTAAATAATAAATATTGTATTCACATACTTTTATAATCATGTGACAATAACTTCATAATTATTTATTTATAAAATGTTAAATAATAAATATTGCATTCACATACTTTTATAATCATGTGACAATATTATTATAATTATTTATTTATAAAATGATAAATAATAAATATTGCATTCACATACTTTTATAATCTTGTGACTGTTTTCAATATTTTGAATTATGACATTATGTAAAATGT